AAGGATTATGCTATCACGAAGGATTATGCTATCACGAAGGATTATGCTATCACGAAGGATTATGCTATCACAAAGGATTATGCTATCACGAAGGATTATGCTATCACGAAGGATTATGCTATCACAAAGGATTATGTTATTACGAAGGATTATGGTATTACGAAGGATTATTCCATTACAAAGGATTATGCTATTACGACGGATTATTCCATTACAAAGGATTATGGTATTATGAAGGATATAATATAGGATAATCCCAAGGCCATAAACCAGCCTTGGGGTTATCCTATATCCAATAAACGTCAAAACGGCTGAACCGATCGGACTAAAACAATTTTGAACCTTGCATGACCCCAGGAAAAATTGCTTTGAAAAAATTAAGATTTTTCAAAATCCAAGCGAAAACAATTTTTATAAATTTCCGCAATTTTTTAATGAAATTCTTTGAATATACTACTGTTTAAAGAACCAAAACTTTACGCCTACGGGAAAATGCTGTAAAAGACTTTGTTCACATGAACCTGATAGTTGCATGAACCGTACCTGTACAAGGATTAAACAGTCTAAAGTTTAACTGCACGTTATTATTATGACATGTGATTGACCCAGCACGTTATTACTATGCCATGTGGTTGACCCAGCACGTTATTATTATGCCATGTGGTTGACCCAGCACGTTATTATTATGACATGTGGTTGACCCTGCACGTTATTATTATGAGTGTTGTGAAGAGTCTTAACTAAGGTCTCCTGCTCTGTAGGTGAAACCTTGTATATTCTGGTTATTGTTAAGTCTGTTTCATTTCAAGAACCCAGCCGACATCTAACCAGCTCTGTACACTACATATACAGATTATTCAAGGCAACACGGGACAGTACCTGGACAGTACATCAAATAAACCAGCCCCTTTAAGGGAAATTATAGTGGTGAACACTACATGGTCAACCAGGTTCATCTCAGACTATGTACGCCCTTATTATCGATCTATAAGATAAGACTATTACATGAGACATTCAGCGGCCAAACTATCGCCCTCCGACGCATGTCATTAGGACGGCCATTGTTTTTCCAAGGAATGTACTTAGTGCAGTAATATATGTGCAATGGACATAGTACAGCATTCTATGAAATGTCCCAAAACTATTTATTATATTCTCGAATGCCTTGACAAAACTTGGATTTTAATTGGGTTCCAGCGAAAAAATTTCTCCCGCGAAACAGATCAAAAATTTAAAAAAAGCGAAAATTTTAGCTTTTTTCTATTTACAGAATTCGAAAAAAATGTAATAACTGTAAGAAATGTGAACGTACTGAGTAGATATTTTGAGCTTCTTAAGTTTGGATTTTTAAATATTGGGCCCAACTCAAACCAAGTTTACAGTTTGTTTCTATCATGTACAGAGTGCAATAAAATTGAATAGAACAATTTTGTGTTTTATATTGTTATGCAAAATGGTAGTTATAATGATTAAATACATAATCTTTTATAATCATTACTGATTATTTAAACAAATACTAAGATTTGTTTCTATTCAACCTTATTTCCTTAAATAAAAAAACAAAATCTTCGCTTAAACGATGAATGCTTTTCGAATCTTGAATCTAATTAACTAGTCATCTCTTCATAACAGGGAGGTTCGAGAGGTAATAATGATGCAATGAATATAGGTAGGAATTTTACATTGCCGAGGGTTCCCAAAGCCTTGTTGGGTCATTAGGCATCACGAGCGTAGCGATGGATGCTTAATTACCATAACAAGGTCTTAGGAAGCCTAGGAAATTTAATATTCCCTTAAATATTTATTGCATCCTTGTTGCCTCCCGTGAATGAAGAGATATGTAATTTTTTCAACATTTAAACAAATTTTATGGAGATTTTTCCACTTCTTAACAAAATATAAAATTTTAATTTACACCAAAATCCAGTTTTCAGTTTTTAATAACTGTAAATTCTATTCAGTTTTAAAACACATATTTTAAGTTTTTGGCACATATTTTAAGTTTTTGGATTAACTAGATTGCATCACTAGGGTTGCAATCTAGCATTGCATCCCTAGGGTTGCAATCTAGCATTGCATCCCTAGAGTTGCAATCAACCATTGCATCCCTAGGGTTTCAATCTATTATTGTATTTACATTACCAGAGATTCAATAGTGTCATAATTTTGTTCAAAAATTGGAAAAATTCTTTTGAAGACAATTTCCAGTGAAGAGCAAGCGGCATGTCAAATTTTCAAATACTCTTTCAATCTTGATCTGACTTGTTTTTTGTTAATATTTATTTTTCAGAAAATAGAGATTTTCATTCTTATTTATGAAACAGGCGACACTGGACATAAAATATTTGGAATTTTTTGGAAATATATAGAAAGTCAGATTCATTGAGTTTGCACTACATGTTATTGTTCACTTTACTTTACCAGCAATTTAATCACCTTAATAGAGATAAACACACAAAGTTCTCTGCCGTCTTTTTCAAGAAAATTACGCTTCAATTCCCTTTCACTTAGTTTTTATTTATCTTGGCAAGCAAATTTTTGACAAAAGGATATACATTTCTTAAAGTAAAAAGTTGCATATAAGCTTGAATATCTAACAAAAGCTTTGCATTTTATAGATAGTTATATTGACAATAGATTTCTTGGAAATGCAGTTTTCCGAAAAGAAATAATTAAAACTGAAATTTAAATTCCAAAACTAAATTAATCTTCTCTGAAATCTGAGATTCATACAGTTCAATTCTTAATATTTCAAATACGTTTTAAATTTCAAATTTTAAATTTCTTGATTTTATTTTAGTCGTTAATATTATTTTGTTTCTTAAAATTGAAATATTAAAAAACATTCTTGGGTACGCTGTATTTGTAATATTTAATTGACTGAGAGCTCGAAAAAACTTAGTTGAAAATACAAATGGGGTCGGATCTAACATTTTTTTTTGTAAAATCTCAATTGTTCCAACCGCAGTGGTGTGAATCTTGAACAATTTTAAGAACGCGCATTTATAGTCTATCGTCTTTTTTCAGTGCGGCAAACGAACTTGATAAAGCAGTCTACTCTCCATTATATTTATTTTTATATTAACGAACGGATTAAAAAAAAAGTAATTTTAGCTATATCCAAGTGTTTTTAATACAAATGTACTAAAATGCTTATTTGCTTATTCTCTACTCTATTTCTGCATGTAATAATGCAAAACTTTTGCTTAATACCTTGTGTAGTGTGTACCCTTTTAATTCTTAATATTGTCAAGTGTGGATGTAAGAGGGCACCCTAGACTCCTTAAGAAAAGAAGAAATCCCTTTTCTAAGGTAAAAAAATGTGTTTCTTCGAATCCTAGAAATTTTTAACAATTTCCTTACTAGCAACATTTTTTTCAAAGTGTATTGGGCGCCCTCTCCTTGGATTAACTCCTCATTACGCCCTTATAATTTGGGCATACAATTCAATTGTTTTACAGAAGCATGATGATTGACAGCTAACACGTGGTTAATAGTGTAATTTTTTCTGAAGTGTAGGTTACCTAATATACTCCTAATATGCTCTTCTAACCCAGACCTGCTGAAGGAACTAATAATCAAGTTTTGGCGGGAAAAGCTTCCGACCACGTGTTGACTCCAGACCAGCTGGGGTCTTAATGGCGGGAAGTTCACAAAGAGAGAAAGAGAGAGAGACAGAGAGAGAGAGAGAGAGACAGACAGAGAGGAGGATCCAGGTATACTAAACTACAGAGAAACCCTCCCACGCTTACCATGATTAATCCAACCCATTGGTTGATTTTTATCAAGGTTATATCATTCAAATTATCGTAATTTTTTTTTATTTGTGGATTTCATGATATTTTTCGAGCATTTTCAAAATTTTAAAAAATTAAATAATTTAAGATAAAAATATTTTAAGGTTGCATATTCAAAGTCTGATTGGCCGTAAACCTTCCCTGGGGCCACTGAGGTCCCACACAAAATTTTGGCCTGATCGGTTAAGCCGTTTAGACGTTTATTGGATACAAACAAACAAACAGACACCCAGTACAAGCTAAATTTATAATTGATCTCGACTTATACTGCGAACACTTTTAGTTTGAGGATCAATGCTTATTCTTTCAGTTCAGTTATCCATTCAGAATACAATTACATTTCGGATTTCGAATCAAAATTAAATTAATTTCTAGATAAAAAAATATTCTCAATACAAGAGTTCTCATCTCCAGACCATTAATCCATCAACATTTTTCTCAATTAAAAAGTCCGAAAAATGAAGAAGTTAAGTCGTTCTGGTGCAAGCTGTTTTGGAGTTATGGAGAAAACCCTGTGGTTTTCAGAAATAATTTTAAAACGTCTGACTTTCGAATGCTAAAACTTCTTCACTTTTTCAACTTTAAATTTTGTTTATATTTTTTTTACGCATAGGGTAGGGTGGAGGACAGTCAAACGGTAGGTCGATGTTTCAATTAAATCAGAATTGGTTCAGATCTGTTTTATTAATTAAGCTACAGGGCTAAAAGTCATATAATTAAAAATTCCTTGAAAAAGAGATGTAATAACATGTATCACGTGTTAATATTTGTCAAAAGTAAAGAAATTGATTTTTGAACAATTTTCCCAACGTACTTTTTGAACTTTTCAAAAATCCTACCCTGCACCCAAACCATTCAATATAAAGGTCTAATTAGGGACTAGGATTAGGGACTAGGATTAGGGACTAGGATTAGGGACAAGGATTAGGGACTAGGATTAGGGACAAGTTTCACACTTCCCTATATCTTAACCCTAAGGGCAAAATCCCAATGTGGGTGGACCCCCCCCCCCCAACTATATTAGACAAAAATAGCCCAATTTGGATAGGGTTAAGTTCCAAAAATATTACTAGAGCTAATTGTTTTAAAGACTGTCTCTCTAATTTCAATTGGTTCTGATTCTGGTAATGAGATTTTTTCTTCTTAATGAGTTTTCAGTAGAATCTTTCCAATTAATTGTTATTCTCTTGTTTCCATGTTGTACTTTTCAATGCGTGTACTTTGGTTTCTCTGATTTTGGTGCCTATTGATCTCTCAGACTTTAGGATTGTGAATAATGAGATCAATGTTTGATCTCCTTTTTCTGATTGATCTGCATATTAATTTTATCTTTCATTAATATCCAGGAAGGTGTCTAAAACGCATCCAATCAGAGTGACGATTGCAGAAACTTAACAGACAAGAAATTTAGCGCGCAATCAATGAGAGACTTTATTGGTCGGATGTCAACAGGGATATCCAAAAGAGAGGATTAAGCTGAAAATCAAAAGTGTTCACAATGGATATCAAGTTATCCAATACAAGAGTTTTTCACTCAATATACAGTAGGAATATTCAAGATTTCATTTTAAATCTTTAACTCATTAAGCATCGCCTTGTATCAATTTATCTAGTAAAACCAGGTGAAAGTAACTCTGCCACCTATTTATCCCTCAAAAACAAGCAAAAATGACTGTTATCATCTGGAATATGATAATTTCATTTTAGAAACCTGATAATTTGGAAACTTTCATTATGGAAACCTATCAATTTGGAAACAAATATTTTGGTAACCTGGCAATTTCGCAACTAACATTTTAGTAACCTAAAAATTTGCTAAATAACATTTTGCAAATTTTGCGATTTACATATTGGTTATGTGACAGTTTAATTTTTAGTATTTTGGTAACCTGACAATTTGGTAACTAAAATTTTGGTAACCTGACAATTTGGTATCTAACATTTTTGGTAACCTGACAATTTGGTAACTAACTTTTTGGTAACTAACATTTTGGTAATTTGACAATTTTGTAAATAACATTTTGGTAACCTGACAATTTGGTAACTAACATTTTGGTAACCTGACAATTTGGTCACTAACTTGTTGCCAACCTTCAGTGACTTAAAATTTCGTAACTATTATATTGGTAACCAGGCAATTTAGTAACTTAACATTTGGTAAATTTAGTGACTAACTCTTTGGTAACCTGGCAATTTGTTAACTAGCTTTTTGGCAACCTGGCAATTTAGTGACTTAAAATTTGGTAAACATTATTTGGGTTTCCTGACAATTTCGTAGATAACATCAAAACCTGGAAATTTGATAACTAACTTTTTGGCGCAATTTGGTGACTTAAAAATGGTAGCTATTATTTTGGCAACCTGATAATTTAGTAAATTAACCTTTTGGTACCCTGACAATTTAATTAGTAACATTCTGGTAACGTGAATATTATTTAGTTGTGCAACATAACATGTTTTTATCGTTTTTTAACAAAGAAAACTCACCGTATTGCATAGTAAGAGTTGGGAAATATGAAGGGATCGCTCCCTCACATTTTAAACAGGGGTTTTCTGAAATAAATTTAAAAATTAAAAATATTCGATTAATATTAGACAATAATTTGTAAAGTTAAAGTGATTTAAGAATTTTTTTAACAAATTATCACATAAAAAAATTATTTTTAATGATATTATTTGTTATTGGGAGAGTTTAGGAAAATTGAACTGGAGTACTGGCTGAACCGGAGTATTGACTGAACCGGAGTAATGGCTGAACCGGAGTATTGGCTGAACGGGAGTATTGGCTGAACCGGAGTACTGGCTGAACCGGAGTATTGGCTGTACCGGAGTATTGGCTGAATCGGAGTATTGGCTGAACTGGAGTATTGTCTGAACCGGAGTATTGGCTGAACCGGAGTATTGACTGAACCGGAGTATTGGCTGAACCGGAGTATTGGCTGAACCGGAGTATTGTCTGAACCGGAGTATTGGCTGAACCGGAGTATTGACTGAAAGTACTGGCTGAACCGGAGTACTGGCTGAACCGGAGTATTGGCTGAACCGAGGTATTGGCTGAACCGGAGTACTGGCTGAACCGGAGTATTGGCTGAACCGGAGTATTGGCTGAACCGGAGTACTGGCTGAACCGGAGTATTGGCTGAACCGTAGTATTGACTGAACCGGAGTATTGGCTGAACCGGAGTATTGGCTGAACCGGAGTATTGGCTGAACCGGAGTATTGGCTGAAACAAAGTACTGGCTGAACCGGAGTACTGGCTGAACCGGAGTATTGGCTGAATCCGAATTTAATCTGGAATTGATCTCTATCTATTTTACTTCTATCTTAAGCGTCTGCAGATAAATGTAAATGTTCTAATTTTATGTTGCTTATTATTTTATGTGTATTATAAGAGATCTTTTTCAATATTCGGATATACTCAGGAACATTACAAACTCTTCTTATATTTTCATGCAACCTCACGAGACTTTATATATTATTCAAGGGTATGGTAAGCTGGTTAAAGGGACTGTAAGCATAATTTCAACTGATTCTCCATAAAAGAGGGCATTGCCCGATTCACAACGGTACCCTTAAAACCTTTTAATGTTCATCGAGTAGAGATCTCTCTCTGTTTAAAGGGACTGTAAAGGAAAATTGAAAGGGGATATATAAAGGCTGAAAGCTGATCACTTTAGCTCTTGATCGCAACCCATGAAAGTTATATCTGATGTTCCTGTCTCAAGAAATGATATAAAACTGTGTCAAATTTATAAGAAAATTTCTTTATATTGAACGAGAGTAGATGTTCCTCTTCAAGTGAAAGTTCGCATGAAATTTCACTTACAGTCCCTTGTAAACAATTTCTGGACCAAGCGCTGGGGCTAAAACAGATTTTTATATTGAATCTAATGAGGTTGCATAAAAATTTGCGGAGGTAATTCCCCTTTCTTCACCTAGACCCCCCCCCCCCTCCTTAAATGTTAAAATGTCTCGAGCACAAATTTGAATTTGCAGAAAAAGATATGCAAATTTTTGCACTTTTCGACAATTTTTCAGTTTCTCTGAATCCGTAAACCTGAACATTTCCAGAAATATAAAAATCAACATTCATGCCTAAAATTTTAAAATTTTACAAAATTTTAAAATTTAATTAAATAATTATCCAACTCTTAATATTTCTCTAAACGCTATGTATACATAATGTCAGAATTTAGAAAACCCTAAAAGGAAGCTTTCGCGAAAAATGAAAAGGGGTATAGGCTTACGGCGAATAATAACCGCCCCCTTTCATTTTTCGCGAACACTCCCTTTAAATCTCTTTTTTCATTAATATTATTTCCTTTAATTTTTTTCACATTTTTAAGTAGTTTTTCTCACTTTTTATTTCACTACTATTCATAGATATATCTATGCTATTAATACTATTTTATTCTATATAATTTGGTATATACTGGTATGCACTGTTCAGCAAGATCTGGTATACAACGTACTGCAAAGTCTTGTATATAACTGCACAGTAAGGTCTGGTATACACTGTACAACAAGGTCTGGTATACACTGTACAAAAAGTTATGGTATATAATGTACAGCAAGGTCTTGTATACACTGTACAGCAAGGTCTGGTTTACACTGTACAGCAAGGTTTGGTATATAACTGTACAATAAGGTCTGGTATACACTGTACAGTAAGGTCTGGTATATACTGTACAGCAAAGTTTGGTATATAACTGTACAACAAGGTCTGGTATATACTGTACAGCAAGGTCTTGTATATGCTGTACAACAAGGTCTGGTATATACTGTACAGCAAGGTCTGGTATATAACTGTACAGCAAGGTTTGGTATACACTGTACAAAAAGTTATGGTATATAATGTACATAAAGGTCTGGTATACACTGTACAGCAAGGTCTGGATTTACACTGTACAGCAAGGTTTGGTATATAACTGTACAATAAGGTCTAGTATACACTGTACAACAAGGTCTGGTATAAACTTTACAGCAAGGTCTGGAATACACTATACAGTAAGGTCTAGTATATACTGTACAACAAGGTCTTGTATGTACGGTACAGCAAGGCCTGGTATCACTGTATAGTAAGGTATGGTATACACTGTACATCAAGGTCTGGTATACACTGTACAGAAAGGTCTGGTTTATAACTGTACAGCAAGGTCTGGTATACACTGTACATCAAGGTCTGGTACATACTGTACAACAAGGTCTGGTTTATAACTTACAACAAGGTCTGGTATATTATACGGTACAGCAAGGTCTGGTATCACTGTACAGTAAGGTCTGGCATATAACTGTACAGCAAGGTCTGGTATATAACTGTACAGCAAAGTTTGGCATATACTGCACAGCAAGGTCTGGTATATAACTGTACATCAAGGTCTGGTATATATCTGTACAGCAAGGTCTGATATACATTGTACAGAAAGGTCTGGTATATAACTGTACAGCAAAGTCTGGTATATTATTGTACAGCAAGGTATGGTAGACACTGTACAGTTAGCTATGGTGTATGCTGTAAAGCAACGTCTGGTATACACTGTACAGAATGGTCTAGTATATAAAAGTACAGCAAGGTCTGGTATACAATTTGCAACAAGGTTCATGGTATACACTGTACATCAAGGTCTTGTATACAATGTACAGCATGGTCTGGTATATAACAGTATTGCAAGGTCTCGTATACACTGTATAACAAGGTCTGGTATACACTGTACAGCAAGGTCTGGTATATAACTGTACAGCAAGTTCTGGTATAAATTGTACACTTTCAGTAAGGTCTGGTATATAACTGTACTGCAAGTTCTGGTATAAACTGTACACTTATAGCAAGGTCTGGTATATACTGTACAGCAATGTCTGGTATATACTGTACAGCAAGGTCTTGTATATAACTGTATATAACTGAGGTTCACCTGGTGGATTCTAAACAGAGGCTGTTATTTCGATTTTCTCCCTACAAGGTGTATCTGTAAGTATTGGAATTAAAGACATGAACATTTTGTGAAAGCACTACATAGCAATTACGCAGTTTTTGTATTATTTCAAAGGGAGAGACTGACTAGACATGGTAGTTGAGCTGAAAGTGCAGTATTGTAGAGAAATTTTTCACGATTTATTTGTGACCCAGGAGAAATTTTTACAGTGTATGATAGTTTAGCTGAAGGGCAAGTTCATCTTCAAAATATTCCTGGATTTATTCTTGAGGGATGATTTTTATAATCGGTTTATTAAAAATTATTCAAAAATAACGATGAAAAATGTCACAAAAATTCTACAATATGATAAAGAGATATTTGATTCTACCATTGATTTCTTCACAAGTTTATAATGAGAAATATGTTTTTTAACAACCAACTAGTTTACTGTAAACTTTTTGTAACATTTTTCATCCTCGTTATTGAAACTTAAAAAAAGACGATTCTAAAAATCATCCCTCCTGCTGACTGGACAATTAAGGAAGATTTTGAAGATTGAATTTGCGCTCCTACTGAAATTTATACACCGTAAACACTTCTGATGGGTGTCAAATGAATCCTCAAATATTTCTGCAATCCTGAACTGCAGCTCAACTTCTAAAGGTGTCGGAAATAGTAAACTGTTTTGTCGAAAATGGCTCGATCTTTACTTAAAATAGATATATTTCAAGTTATAAGAAAGAGTGAAAAATGTTTACATTTTTTGCAGACAAAACTTTTTTGCTAAATGGTTTTATATTTTGGCTGGTTATACTTTGGTCGATACAATCATTTTCAACAATATTTCTGGTCGTTATATTTTTAGGAGTTTGGTCAGCAATCTGTACTTTCGAACCCCGTTACAGACCCCGTTCATCAGAAAACCTATAAATAGCCATTGCTTCTGAGATCATCAGATTTTCATTGGAGACCCCAAACTTTTCATTGGAGACCCCAAGCTTTTCATTAGAGACCCCAAGCTTTTCATTAGAGACCCCAAGCTTTTCATTGGAGACCTCAAGCTCTTCATTGGAGACTCCAGATTTTAACTAGAGCCCCAAGCTTTTCATTGGAGACCCCAGGCTTATAATCGAAGGCCCCAAAACTTTTAATCGGAGAATACCGGATTTTTATCAGAGACCCCTTGCTCTAAAATAAATTTCTGGGTCTCAAAAAAAATTTGGATTTTCCAATGAAAAGCTTTTTTGAAGTCTCCAATGAAAACTGGGGTCTCTAATGTAAATTTTGGGGCCTCCGATGAACATCTTGGGGTCTCCCATGAGATGACTGTTGGGAGTTGTTGATGAAAGGGGTCTCCAATAATACTCCAATGATGCTGATTTCTAATATGATTAGTGTGTTATCTTTTACCTCCCATCCATATTTCAAATTGTGAAAGGAAAAGAATCTGGAAACACAAATTTTTTTATATAATTTATTTATGAGAAGAAAGTTTAAGATTTTGTTTACTTTGCTCTAATCCAAAAATGTTTTGTTCTGTCTTCTTTTGTTTTCTTAAACAAGTATTTACGTTTTTTCTACAAATATAACATTTGTCTTTGTAAAGAAGATTAATTTGATTAATTTGTGCAAAGTCAAGAAAAATTTAACTCCCAAGGACCAAAATTTAATTTAATTTTGTTATCCTACCATAGCTTATTTTTTTTTTAAATGACTAGATATTTATTTTCATGATTTTTGCTTTTTAAGATTACGATTATACTTTCGAGGGACTTCGACAACTTTTCTTTGTTTATTATTATAAACCAAAAATATTTCAAAATCAAACTATTTGGGAGTTCTAATTTTAAATTCTGCCTGACGCGATCATAAACCTTTCCCAACAAGACAAAAATTGTATACATAGGCATTTTGTTATAAATTCATATTAAAATAATAATAATAAAATTTCGCAGTTTTTTCTTTTTTCATTGTTACATTTCCAATATTTAAGATGATCAAACAGATTTATGCCTGATCGGTTCAGCCGTTCTCACGTTTATTGGATGCAAAAAATAATTATATATATGCGAAAATAATTATATGAAAATTATATTTGATTTTAGGTCATGTAGCAAAAATCGTGAAAACATGATATTCTTTAAAACTACAGTAAGTATATTTATGATTTAATGTGTAAACTTAGACATAATAACATTTTTCATTGAAACTGCGTTTCAATTAAATACTTAACATGATTAGTTTAAATCATGCGACATACTAAAATTACGCTATAAAACATGTGCGGAGATAGATTAATTGTGTTATACCTATTCTCTCTAATCCTATAAATATGTATATAAAACTTTAAACTGTGCGCTAAATTGTAGAAATTGTAACTACGTCAATTCCTGTTAGCTTTGTGACCTAAGATATTGAATAAAGTTAGTTGATTGAGACTGCTTTGATTACAATATTAGAAGTAATTTGGTTTTCATTAAAACATACAAGCAGAGATCACACCTTGAGTATTGGTATTGATCTATTGATTGCTAGTGTCTGTATTGACATCGATTGATAACAAGATTGCGCCCTGTATAGTGGCGTTGATTAGTCCAAGATGTAGCCATGTGGATCGTGTCCTGTTGAGAAATTGATGGTTTGATTGCTAGTGTCTGTATTGACATTGCTAGCTAACGAGATCGCGCCCTGTGTAGTGGCGTTAATTAGTCGTGGGATCGTAGCTGCGTGGATCGTGTCCTGGTTGAGACATTGATTTTTTTTCACGTGCAACCTAGGGCCCTTCAGCTAATTATAAATATATATATATAGCTATTTTATAGATTTCGAATGCAATTTTAACACTACTACTGATTAAAGGGACTGTAAGAGTAATTTTAATTTGATCATCAAGGGCAGAGAACTCCGTAGGCTTATCTCCATAATTATGTTTACAAATTAAAGGGACAGACCGGCTATGTAAGGTAGTTAAACTGAGTATGCAGTGTTGTGGACAAATTCTTTCGGATTCATTTAAGACATTTAAAATGTTTCCACAATGCATAGTTACTGAGTTTGAGTGCAAAGCGGACGTTCAAAATTATGAATTTGGGTGGGTTCGTTTTTAGAATCATTTTTTAGTTGTTAAATAACGACGACGAAAAAATATAGTAAAAATTCTATAGTTAACTAATTTTATGTTTAGAAACATATTTCTCAAAAAAAACTTTGTCAATAAATCGAAGTTAGAATTATTTTTTTTCCTTTTTCATCGTTATATTGAATTTCTTATTTTCTGTGAATTTGTTAGCAGATTTCTTCAAATTCCTCAAATGTCGTCTTTTTAAAAAAAATTCCAGAAAATCTGCAGAAAATCTTTGTAATAAAAGAGAGATTATAGAAACTAATAATTGAATAAGATTGTTTATTTTCGATGATAAGAGTATATTTTTGTTTTTCTCAACCTGTTCCTAAACAACTAATTAGTTTACTGTAGAATTTGGTTTACATTTTTTGTAGTCCCTATTTAATAATTAAAAAAAAAACATTTCTGAAAGCGTATCAACCCAAAAGTACGATTTTGAACGTCGACTTTGCGCTCAAACTTAGGATTTACAGATCATGTTTTATATGTCTCAAATGAATCCTAAAGAATTTGTCCACAACACTGTATACTCAGTTCAACTACCTTACATAGCCGGTCTGTCCCTTTAACCATGGAGTGAACGATAGCGTACATTGTGAACTCAACACAACTGACGTTACAAGTAATATTCAAAAATCCGGCAAGGTTTTCAACAATTTGAATATAATTGTTTATTTTCTACAACGTTTAGAAAGTAGATGTTTAATCTGAATTTGTATGGGCGCTAAGTTATTCGGTATGAGACGTCTTTACCAATTTTCTCCTTATAGACGTAACAGATAGAAGTAAGATTAGTAGCGATCAAAAGCGCTTTTTTATCGCATTAAACCTATACCCCCTTTCATTTTTCGCGAACACTCCCTTTAACATTTTTAAAAACTCACAGTTTGTTGTGAAAGATTTCATAGATTGAAACATGACAGGTCTGCAACATCAAGTTGCATAGATATAAGGATTATTAAACTCAGAGTATGTGACATGTATTCAGTTCCTTAGCGTTCACAAACTAGGATTGATATTTGATAGAACTCTCTTGGATTCCTTCTCTTTAGAACTGAAGTTTAAAGTGTGGGTTTGGGAATACTGCGAGGAACGGTGGAATTTTTAGAAAACAGTTTATTGGCACAGTATATAAACATCCTATTTTAACAACTAATAACATAGCGGAAAACAATAACAAATAAGATAATTAAAAAACATTAAGAACAAATAACAAAAGTGTTTTTAACAATTTGGTAACAGTCTCCTGACCAGAGGGAACAAAGGTTTAAATATAACAAAAAGTGTATTAAAGGGACAGAGGACGAAATTTTAAGCGTCCATAATGATACAGGGGTATTCCCGATTTACAACGGTACCCTTTAAACCTTAGCCTGATCAAAAACTAATGAAATATCCGTGTTTTTAGACTTTAAATTGATTAATTTTAATTTTTAACTGTGGTTTCTCTATAGAAGTGATTTGCAGATTTTTGCAAAAGAGGAAAAAAGGAAATGGTCAGAATTCAACACTTTCTCAGAAATAAAAACTACGATAGCTTTCTCATTGTTGTGACCTATAGTTGAAGGTTTAAAGTGAACTAATGTGAATTGGAAATGCCACTTAAGAGCCAGTTAAAATTAGAATTTCAGTCCCTCAAAATACTTGACAATCGCAATTCGAATCTAGATATTTGATTGAAAATTGCAGCTGTCGAAACATTATTTTTTTATATCGACCTCCTCCTGTGGTGAACTTTTTAACAACAATTTAAAGAGATTTTTAAAGGGAGTGTTCGCGAAAAATGAAAGGGGGTATAGGCTTAATGCGATAAAAAAGCGCTTTTGATCGCTACTAATCTTACTTCTATCTGTTGCGTCTATAAGGAGAAAATTGTTAAAAACG